AATCTACAAAAAAAAAAAAAATCAGATGGAAAGTTGTGCTCTGTAATCTGTTAAAGACTTTTGTGGTGTTTACATTTTACAAAGACAAAAAAATTGTCATAGATAATAAAAGTGTTATAATACTACGCAGTCTAGCAATGATTTCTACACATTTTGAAGATAAATATTTTTCCACTAAGATACTTAGTGGAAAACTAACTTTCACTTTCACTTTTCTTAGTAATCTTTCACTTTTCTTAGTAAGAGACTGCATCACAAACATTTACGTATCATCATAGAATCACAGAATGGCCTTGGTGGAAAAGGACCACAGTGATCATTGAGTTTCAATCCCCTTGCTTTGTGCAGAGTTGCCAACCACCAGACCAGGCTGCCCAGAGCCACATCCAGCCTGGTATTGAATGCCTCCAGGGATGGGGCATCCACAACCTCCTTGGGCTACCTGTTCAGTGCGTCACCACCCTCTGTGTGAAAAACTTCCTCCTAGTATCCAACCCAACCTAAATTTTCTCTATCTTAGTTTAAAACATTTCCCCTTTCTCCTATCACTATCCACCCTCATAAAAAGCTGTTGTTCCTTCTGTTTATATGCTCCCTTCAGGTATTGAACGGTCACAGTAAGGTCTCCCCAGAGCCTTCTCCAAGCTAAACAAGCCCAGTTTTTTCAACCTTTCTTCATAGAAGAGGTGCTCCAGCCCTCTGATCATCTTAGTGGTTCTTCTCTGGAAGGACCCACTCCAAGAGCTCTGTACCTTTCTTGTGCTGGGGGTCCCAGGCCTAGATGCAGTAGTGCAGATGGGGCCTCACAAGAGCTCAGTAGAGGGGGACAATCCACCTCCCTCTGCCTACAGGCCACTCCTTTTAATGCAGCCTTCCAGGCTGCAAGCACACACTGCTGGCTCTTGTCCAGCTTCTTGTCTATCAGGACCCTTCTTCACAGGGCTGCGCTCAAGGGCTTCTTCGCCCAATCTATATAAACACCTGGGATTACCCCAGCCCAAGTGCTACAGCTTGCGCTTTGAGTTATTGAACCTCATTAGGTTCACATGGGCCCACTTCTTCAGCCTGTCCAGGTCCTTCTGGATGTCTTCCCTTCCTTCCAGTGTATCAACTGCGCTGCTCAGCTTGGTGTCATCCACAAATTTGCTGAGGGTGCACTCAGTGCCATGATCTGTGTCATTGATGAAGATGGGGAAGAGCACTGGTCCCAAGACTGACCACTGGGGGATACTGCTTGTGATTGGCCTCCACCCTGACAAGGAACCATTGCTCATAATCCTTCTGTTGCATCCAGCCAACCAGTTCTTAATCCACCGAACAGTCCATCTTTCAAAACCATGCCTCCCCAATTTAGAGAGAAGGATGCGGTGAGGGACCATGTCAAAGGCTTTGCAGAAGTCCAAGAAGATGACATCCATTGCCCCTCCCCACCCCATCCACCAAAGCCATCACTCCATCACAGAAGAAGATAGGGTGGGCACGAGCTGCCCTTGGCGAAGTCATGCTGGCTGTCTCAAATAACCTCTTTATCTTGTACGTGCCTTAACAGTTTCTAGGAGGATCTGCTCCGTGATGTTCCCAGGCACAGAGGTGAGGCTCACTGGCCTGTAGTTCCCTGGGTCATCCTTTCTCCCTTTCTTAAAATTGGAGTAATGTTTCCCTTTTCACAATCACTAGAGACTTCAGCAGCCAGCCATGATTTTTCAAATATTCTGGAGAGCAGCTCGACAACCGCATCAGCCATCTCTAGGCTGGATCATCCCCTAGGATGGATATCATCTGGCCTCATGGACTTATATACATTCACTTTCATGAGGAGGTCTTGGACTTGTTCCACTGTTGCAGTGGAAGGGAATCTGCTCCTTTCACACACATCCAGAGGTTCAGGGTCCTGGCAGACATGGGTAGGAACCTGACCACCAGAGAAGACCCAGGCAAAGCACTTATTGAGCACCTCAGCTTTTTCCATGTCTAAGGAAGCCACTTCTCCGTCCTCACTTAGTCATAGAGTGATGCTGCAAAGCTTATACAAAAGCATGAGTGGTGCTTATTAAAAAACAAAATAAAACAAAAACTCACAAAAAAGGCTTTACCATATATCACAGTTAATCTTTTCCATGGAATTTGCATGCCAAATATGGATATGATTGAAGCATTTATCTGGGGGATCAATTTGAGTTTGTTTTAACTTAAATTTTTATTTTCACGCATGAAAACATCTAAAGACAGCTATTAACTGCACTTGAAACAAAAAATGTTTACACTGCTAGTGTTCAGCACACCACTGAAAGTTGAAATGATGCCTATCATGCTTCACGTTTGGTTTCTTGATAAAGGGCAAGGCTCTAATTAATTGTGCACAGTCAGCCTCTGGAGGATTGGTTAGTGCTGACCACAGTGACACACAGATTTGCAGCTGGTGTGTTTCTCAAGGTAATTAGGAGATATACATGGCTTGGGACCTGTATTTACAAATGAGTTCATTTGGTACCATTGACAGATGGTGCAGACCATCTCCCCTTCAGTGGGATAACGGGAAATAGAAATAACTTTCCTCCAAATGGAATGACCTGGGCTAATGAGAGCTTTGTTAAACTATTTAAAGCTCAACAGAATCCAGAGTGAATATAATAACTACTTGTCTTAAAAGCCATTAGCAACCACTGTGTATTCCACGTCAGTTCTAGATGGTTTACATCAGAAGATGCTGATACCTATTCTGATTTTGAACAGGAGATACAAGATTTCTAATCTCCTGTACCCTCAAATTCAGCTTGGGAGACGGGAACAGAGGCATTTCAAATATTAAAGAAATTAGGAATAGAGAAATAAGCATTCACTTAAAATGAAGGTATGGCTGGCAGACAGATCTACAAATGGCTTTCAGGAAGCAGTAGATGAGTTTGTGAATTAATTAAAAGCTAAAGATAGAATGAATTATAGAATTTTCAAGGTTATTCCCAAAATAAGCAATTACTTTCCTTCCTAAGTTAGCAATACACCGTTGTGAGGCACCCACTAGCGTTACTTTAATTTGTCTCATCTATTTGTGGATAGTCATTTCAGAAGGGATATTGCCAGCTTTGAAAATCTAAGGGTTCACCAGTCACAGTTACTATAACTAGAATAAAATACTTACTTTTTTTTCTTTTCAGTTTTTAATTCCTGACATCTCCATTTCACGTGCAACCTCAGAAAAGCAACTACCTTTACTGAGGTGATAAACAGTGTGTTTTAAGGCCAGGGTTGTAAAGACACTGACTTCTTACACTTGCAAAACTGATCAGCTTAGTATAATCAAATTTAGCAGCAGAGCACACAGAGGTTTTCTCATAAGAGCAGAAAGAGACCTGTGTGCCCCCTTCTGGATACATTATGGTGGAGCAGGAACTTCCAGCAGATCAAGAAGTCCTACCGACACCATCTGAAAACACTGCCAGATGATCTGCTTTTAGAATCACAGGATCACCAACGTTGGAATAGACCTCAAAGACTATCCAGTCCTACCATCCACTTACCACCAATATTTCTCCACTACAGAATGTCCCTTAGTACAACATCTAAACGGTTCTTGAACGCCTCCAGAGACAGTGATGCCTCCACCTCCCTGGACCTGCTCCCACACCTGAACATTCTTTCAGAGATTTTTCCTAATGTCCAACCATTCCTTCTAGTCCTATCACTAGTTAGATGGGAGAAGAGGGCAAACCCCACCTCACCATGACCTCCTTTCATGGAGTTGTAGAGAGCGATAAGGTCTCCCATGAGCCTCCTGCAGTCTAACAATCAAAGTTCCCTCAGCTACTCCTCATAAGACTTATGCTCCAGACTCTTCAGCTGAACAACGACCAAAACCCTGAGATCCTTTTCCTCCACAATCTTCCAGCCACTCTGCCCCAAGCCTGTAGTGTTGTCTGGGGTTATTGTGACCTGGCACTTGGTTGGGCTTTTGCTCTTCTTTCTCTCTGCATACCAACATCCTTGGACTCTTCCTGAGTGGCTTGCCCCTTTATTCACATGTGGTAAACTCTTTTTTATGCCCCGAGTCTCAGCAGAAGCTCCCCGTTCAACCAGGCTGGTCTTCCCCATCAACTCATCATACGGCACACGGGAACAACATCCACATGGTTGAGCTATTCGCATGGGACAGTTCCACTTTGGTAGTAGATGTTAAACAAATCTGTCTGCCCCTGTTTGCCCACGGACACTACAAGTGACATGGCAGCAGGGACACAAAGTGTCACGGAATCATAGAATGGCTTGGCTTGGAAAGGACATCAAGGATCATCCATTTCCAACCAACCTCCCTGCTATGAGCACTGTTGCCATTGTCACAAACCAATGACACACTGAGGTGGTATTTTTTCAGTCAAGGTTTTCTTATCAGTGAAATGCATTGTTTGCTCCACCTGCACAATGTTAACACTGGCTCATGCACTGGTTTCCAAAGCATGAAAATACCAGTGGCAACAAGCACTGTAAAACGGATTGCTTCCCCTGCAAACTTATCATGTTCCATGCTGCTATCAGACCATGATTGAACTCTTAGAATAAGTATCAGAATACTTCACACGTAGGCTTTGATGTGTTTTTTAAGAAGATCCACGCAAAGCTGACTTTCAGAAGCCAGAAAATCTGGATAAAACCGTTCCCATACAATCAGTGCGCACAACCATGTCGCTGCTGACGTTCCTCAAGTGTGTCACAGGACACACACGCCACATTCTACCGGAGCCAACCCCCAGCCTGCACAGGGCGTCACCTTCTGCGCCGCCCTGCGCGGGCCGGAAAAACCCATGCCTACATACACTCCCAAAATGGCGCCGTCGACACCTGACTAACAGCCTCCTCAGCAAGCCCCGCCCCTTCTCTGCCTCTCACGGAAAGCTTCCTTCTGTTTGAATGGCACAGAAGTAGCCTATGAGCTTGTCAAGAGGGCGGGAGCAGGTCTGCTGCTAGCCAATCAGGCGCTGCGATGCGGCGAGGAGGGCGCGGTTGGCGTTTCCACGGAGAAGGCAGCGCGGCGCGCTCCGGCCGTGGCGGTAGTATGAGCCTGTCCGTGAGGTACGTGTGGGACCGCGGGCAGGAGCGGCTGGGGTCGGGCTGCGGGGGTTGCAGTGGTGGGGAGGAGGCGCTCTGTGGAGCGGCAGGGCCTCGCCACTGCCATGTTTGTGTCAGCGTTTATCCGCATTCGGAGCTGTAAATGCGTTCCTCCCGGTTGCACGTCCCGGGGCGGCAGCCGTTCCGGCACGGTGAGGCACGCCGTCGCCGCTCGGCCTTGCATGTCAGGCAGAGCCAGCCTGTGCTTCTCGTGTCCATTTCTGGAGCCTGCCCGGTGCCGTTCGTTGGTTGGTGACAGCTAAATCTCATCTGCCTGGTTAATCTCTGGTGTCAATTAGAATTAGATAATCTTCAGTGAGAGGGAAGAAAAAACAGCTAATTACAGGCTGTGGAAAATAAGCATCTTTGGAAAGCAGGTCTGCGTTCACACATCTGTGCACTGTACAGTAAGTGGTACCACATGTTTTGTCACTGCTGCAGGAAAACAAATGAATATAGGGGGATTCCTGAGCATGTTGAATTCCACAAGCAATCTAGGACTGGAAGATCCTCTGGGAGTCATCTCCTCCAGCTCTGCTCAGAGCAGGTCAGGCTCCCAGCAGTATGAGTTCAGGGCCTTTCCAACTCTGCTAACAGCAGAAATCCTGTGGTCTTCCAGTGCAGCTATTCTGCTGCATAATCACTTGCACTGCGACAGTGCTTTCTTCTAGGTCTGCTTCCACCTTCTCTTACTGCTTGTAGTTGACTCTTGTTGCTGTGCACCACTGATGGGAACCTGCCTGTCTGCTTTGTCTAATCCTCTAGACAGTGCCTTACCCTCCCCCACTGGGTCTTTCTGCCAACGCACTCAGATTGAAACAAACCCAGCTCCTTCAGCTCCTCCTGAACCAGATGCTGCAGCCACCTAGGTACTGATTGCAGTATGCCTTACTTTAGCCATCTTCTCTGCATCTGTTGTACTCAGGCACCCCAACTCAATGCAGTACTTTGGGTGCAGCTACACGACTGCAGAATGAAAGGAGTTAGCACTGCAGGTAGCTGTGCTCATTGCTGCAACAGTTTGCTGTGCTGCTGATTGCAGATCTTTGTCTGCATATTCCAAGGGTGTGCTTTCAGCCTTCTTAAAAGTCATAGTTTGTATCACTTATTGCCTTGAATGTACTACTTTTTTAAAAGCTTGAGCTGAAATGGACATCTTTTCATGCAATTGCACGGAATAAAGAGCAGTTGCTCTGTGAATACAATTAAAGCTTGCTTTACTAGCTTGGTATAAGTTTCCTTTATCTTTGCCATCTTCTTTTTTTTTTTTTTCTGATTGTTCCCAGTTCCTGAGAATTTTTTGTTCCTGTTATTGCTAAACTAGTGAGGGAGAAGAAGGTTGTCTTTGAGTAGTGTTTGCTGTTTTAGGGGACTTGACCCTTTTGTATGCATGAGAAACAGAGCAAAAAATGTCTCTGGTTCGTTATGTATATTGTAATATTTTTAAAAATCTATAGGTACTTGGCATCTATGAACTGCTACTGGCAAAAAATCCACAAATTGATGTCACTTAACACTCACTTCAGCAGCTGGACAACCCAGCTATATGCCGAGTTAAAGCTCTGTCCCCTAAAACTTTCTTGTTTTGCTACAGTTTAGAAATATGGTGTTTTTTAGGAGTTGTATCATGGGAACTGCTAATACATCTTGCAACTGTAACCTCAAGCATTCTTTTTAACTGATAGCTTTTTCTAATTTTGTTTGGTTGTTTATTAACCAGATCACCTCTGCTGGGCAGAGGAGTAGAGGAGCCATTCAACCTGTGCAAAGGAATTGTCTGCTTCAAGTATTACTTCAATCTGGAAGATCAAGTTGGGAAGAAGCTGAATGGGGATGGCAATGAACTGTGCAATTATAATGAGTTTCATATTGGTGGGAAAATGTAATCTACAGTGGTATCTTTCCAGTATTAATCAGTTGTATTGAATTTCCCTCCTGTCATGTAGGAATGAGCTTTCAGTAGACAAAACTAAAAAGAAGAGAAGAGAACTGACTGAGGAACAGAAACAAGAAATTAAAGATGCCTTTGAATTGTTTGATACAGACAAAGATAGAGCAATAAATTACCATGAGTTGAAGGTATTTTTATTTATTCGTCATTTAAATTTCTTTAGGGCAGGTAATATGCATCTAACTGAGTTTTTAAGTCATTGACTTTATCTGTAAAAATGCTTCATGGTCAGGATGTCCTGGAAGGCTGAAGTGGGGACATTTGAAAAATTGCTGATGTGCCTTGAAATAAAACTCAGCTTTTGCCACTATGTCCTATAGTTGCCGCAGTAACAGAGTTGCTGTAGCATATTGTGTAACAGGTCCTGCTGCTCCCTAGAGTTTGAGTTAGGCAGGTGAATAAGCTTCATCAAGGGCAAATACTGTCTTATAGAGAGGTCAGCATTCCTTTAATGTATTGAGTAAGATACTTTTGGAAAGGAATATGTAATCCAGTTTGTTCCACAATCTTATTCTGTCCTGTAATTAAAGAAGAAAAATGGCATTTGTTGTACTTTAATTATGTGTAGAGGAATGTTGTTGATTATAGTGATTCCCTCTTCTTTTTTCAGATTTTGGGTATTGTGCCTCAGCTGGAAGCTGTAATGAGAGGGGGAACTACTGTAGACTATTCATACAGCTTTTCCAGTCAGGGTGTGCTTTGTATCCTCAGCTGTCATGATGGCAAAGTTGTTTATTATCAGTTTAGTTAAATATGGCCCTGAAGATAACACAATGGAAGAACTGAGATGTATAGAGTAAAGAAATATCTCCTTTTGCAACACCAACCCGTAGGGTAGATATGAAATGGCTCTGTTGAATAGGAGTGGGGCTTTTTATTTGTAGTTTAATGTAAGCTCATGTATTTGAATGCAGTCAAAGTAGCATGTGCTGAAAAACTGCCATCTCTGCTGAAATGTGGAAACTAAGCATCAACTCCTGATCTAATGAAAAAATGGAATAACTTACACATTTACGTAGTTGCATAGTTTCAAGTGGAAAAGTGATAAATTAAATCACTTGAAAGATAACTTGTCAAATGTTTACTGTGAGTGATTTAAAGAATGATTTTCAATTTGATCTTTGAAAAAGAGACAGTACTCTGAATGTCTTTGAAAGTTAGAAAAAAAAATCTACTTCTAAAAAGCATATGATGCACTCTTTAAAATTATTGGAAACCTGAAGGCTATTTTTTCACTGTAATTTGATATTCTACTTATTAGTGCTGTTTTGGGTGATTTCATTATTTTTTTATACAAAGCATTTTTGGTATTTTAATTTTATTTATTGTTCTTGAGTCCCACTGGTGTGCACACTCTGCCTTAGGCAGTAATGTTCTTATTAAAAACAAGAAAAAATCTCTCTTAAATCTCTATTTTGTATTAGTATTTGATTGCGCTTTCTTTTTGTTCCAAAAGGTGGCAATGAGAGCCTTGGGTTTTGATGTGAAAAAAGCTGATGTACTGAAAATACTTAAAGATTATGATCGAGAAGCCACAGGCAAGATCACCTTTGAAGATTTTAATGAAGTTGGTATGTATTTGATTTTATACCTTTAGAAATCTACTTTCAGAGAAACTTAGCTTACAGTAGTGATTGCAGTTTGACCAGGAGTACTTTGTGTGTTTTTGTAGTTCCCTAGTACTATTAAGGAGAGATGGGAGATTCAATGTTATATTTTCCTTTATAAACTTACATAGTAGAAGAAAATAATTCTTTGTGTATCCATAGAGATGAAAGATCACAGCAATATAAAAGGAAACAAATTTCTACAAAGCAATAAGCACTAATTTGAAATATAGATATTCATATGTTTATATTTCTTTTTTTTTGTTTTAGTATTCTTCTTCCTGCTGTGGTGAAAGTAGTTGGCACTGAATTTCATAGGAATGAGTGTACAGACTGACAAACTGTAAACTGAATACAGATTTTTCTGTAATCTAACAAAGATGAGAGGAACTGAAGCAGATGTTAAATATTGTACATCAAGGATTTTCAACTGCTGATAAAAGCGGTCAATTTCATTAACTGTTTCTTTCATGTAAAGATTTTGTATCTTACAGACTTCTACATTCTCTAAATGTGGAGCAATCTATACAGTTTTAAAAAACAGGAATTTAGTGTCTTTGAGGATTTTTCTGATTGTCACACATTATTTTTACTTTTGCATACAATTAGTATTTGCCAAAAATATAAACTGAGTTACCTCCATGTATGTTATGATTTCATATCTATTTCACAATTCCCTGTGTTCGAAGTATTAAGTTATCTAATGTTTCTGAAAAAAGCAATGTAATGTGTATATGTTTGCTTCTAGCTATAAATAACAATCTGCTTAGTAACGGTGAATCCTTTATTGGTTTAAATTTTGGCAAACTTTAGAAACTTAACAGGTTAGGAATGAGGAAAATGTGTTGTTAATGATGGGTAATTTTTTTTTCTTAGTTCTTATTCAAGCTAGAAGAAATATGAGTTAGGAGAGAATTGAAGAAGTCTAGGGGGGAATAAAATTATCAGTCCTTATTTAAAAAGAAAAAATGAAAGAAGAAAATTTATTGATTTAATATAATGTATCATTTTATTATGCTATAACATGATGAAATATAGTATGATTACTGCGCAGATCTTTTTAAATTCCTGATGTTTAACTTATGTAGGAGGGAACCTTAAAGGTCATCTAGTTCCAATTCCCTGCTGTGGGCAGGGGTGCCTGCCAAAAGATCAGGCTGCCCAGGTCCCCATCCAAACTGGCCTTGAACACCTCCAAGCATGGGGCATCCACAGCTTCTCTGAGCCTCATCACCCTCTCAGTAAAGAATTTCTTCCTAACATGTGACCTCAATTTTCCCTCTTAGTTTAAAATCGTTTCCATTTGTCCTATTACAGTCAGACTGTATAAAAAACAGTCCCCCTCCTGCTTATAAGCTCTACTCAAGTACTGGAAGGCTGCAGTGAGGTCTTTTCTTCTCCAAGTTGAACAAGCTCAGCTCCCTCAAGCTTCCTTCATAAGAGAGGTATTCCAGCCCTTTGGTCATTTTTGCAGCCCTCTTCAGACCTGCTCGAACCGCTCTGCACCTTTCTTATACTGGGGGCCCTAGGCCTGGATGCATTACTCCGTATGGGACCTTAGAAGAGCAGAATAGAGGATGACAGTCACCTCCCTTTCCCTGCTGCCTGCTCCTCTTTTGTTGCAGCCCAGGATGCAGTGAGCTTTTCAGGCTGCAAGTACATGCTGTTGGCCTGTATCCAGCATTTTGTCCACCAGGATGTTGAAGTCCGTCTTGGCAGGGCTGCTCTTAATGAGCTCTGAGTCTGTGCAGGTATCTTGGAATACCCTGACTCAGGTGTAACACCTTGCTCTTTACCTTATTGAGTCTCATATGGAACTGCTCTTCAATTGTGTACAGGTCCCTCTGGATGGCATCTCTTCCTTCTCTTGTGTCAAGTGTACCACTCAGCTTGGTGTCATCTGCAAAATTGCTGAATGTATACTTGATCCTACTATCTATATAATTGATAAAGATGTTAAGAGCTCTGGTACCATGGAAGATCCCTGAGGAATACTGCTTTTTACCAGTCTCCACTTGGACATAGAAATACTGACCACAAACCTCTGGCTGCAAACACCCAATCTATTCTGTATGCACTGAATAGTCCACCCTTCATATCCATATTTTTCCAATTTAGAGATAAGAATATGATGTGGAATCTTATCAAAGGCCTTACAGAAGTCCAAGCAGACAATATTAGTTTTCTCTGCCTTTGTTCACCTGCGCTGTCACTCCATCATAGGAGGGTGCCAGATTGGTCAGGCACAGTCTGCCCTTGGTTAAGCAGTGCTGGCTATCTTAGATCACCTCTTTGACTCTCATGTGCCCTAACATCTCTTCCAGAAGTTTCCATGATCTTTCTAAGCACAGAGGTGAGGCTCACCAGTCTGTTGTTCCTTGGGTCTTCCTTTCTCCCTTCCTTAAAAATGAGAGTGATGTTTCTATTTTTTCCAGTCACGAAAGTCTTCACCTGGCAGCCACAACTTTTCGTATCTAATTAAGAGTGGCTTGGCAACTACATCAGCCAGTTTCTTCAGTGCCCATGGATGAATCTTGTTCTGCCCCATAGTCATATACTCATTCTGCCTCACAGTGTGGTCTTAGACTTGCTCTGCTCTGCCAGCAGGGACAGATTTTGTTCTTCTGAGACCTGCTTAGAGATTCCGGAGCATGAGAGGTTTGAGAAGCCTGACTGTCAATGAAAATTGAGGCAAAAGAACTCACTGAGTACTTCAGCCTTCTTCATGTCTGCTGAAGCCAGTTCTTCCTTTTCATTTATCAGAGGGGCTATGCCCTCCTTGGCCTTTCTCTTCTGACCAATGTATCTAAAGATTCTTTTTTGTTATTTTGCACATCCTTTTCCAAGTTCAGTTCCATCTGAAAGCCTTGGCTTTCCTGATCTTATTTTCCTATGTCTGGACTGCATTACTTCATTCTTCCCAGGCCATCCATCCCTACTTCCACTGCCTGTACATTTCCATCTTACCCCTGAGTTTGACCAGCAAGTAAGTATTTGCTCAGCCATGTTGATTTCCTACCTCCTCTGCTTGATTTCTTATGCTGGAGGATGGAGACCCCATCTCAGAAAGATGTCCCTGAAGATCTTCCATCTCCTCTCCGTTCTGTTGTCCCTAAGGACATTTCCCAGGGGATTCCTCCAATAATTTCCTCTAAAACAGCCCAAGGTTTCACCCTTCTGATGTTCAGTGTCCCAACTCAGCTGTTTTTGTTCTAGTTATCAATATAGACAGTCAGCAAATGCTGTGGGGATCTGGAAAGATTTATGTAGCACAACTAATAGTGAGAGGGCAACTGAATCAATCCAAAAACTCTGAATCAGGTCTGAGCGTGGGTGTGACAAATATGTCCTTATAGAATTGTAGCAGAAGTATTAGAGAGTTAGAGAAAATAAGTTATAGAAACTGTTATCATGAGTTGGCTGAATGTAGTTAAACAATTGCTTAGCCAATAGTTTTGTGTGATTATTTGTGGTTTAAATGTCAGAACTGACCATCTAAAATGTGTATAGTCGCATCTCCTCTTGTTTTGTACAATCATTTTAACTGTGGTACTTAGAGGCAGTGCTTTTTTGTTAGCTGATGTTGCTCTTATTGCCTTTTATGGCCTTTCTTCCATAAAAGAAGAGTTTCTCAAGTGATTTACTACTGTAATACATTATAGTTGTTTTCAATGAAAATATTTAAGTATGAGTCATTTTTTTTGTATATACTTCAGTCTACATTATATATAAAACACATAAATTTATATAAATATGAAAACAAAAAAAAAATCCTTATTGCTATAGTGAAATTGCATGAGCTTGGATCTGGTATTTTGCTTTCAAGTTCACTAAGCTGAAGGAGGCATTCCATCTGCAAACAGTAGCAGATGAAAAGTGTTTATCTTTGCACCAATAAGTATGATGTGTTTTTAATGGTTTGATAAAAGTCTTAAATACCATGTCATGTAATATGAGCAGGTATATAAAGATATTTGCATCTGATTCCAGAAGTGTCTGAATTAATTACTGAAAAAATATTTTTGTAGCTTGGCTGTCTTTTAAGCAGCTACTAAGCAACAAATGGATGCAATGAAAGGACTAACGGAGAGTAACAAATCCTTTCAGAATTAACATTTTGCAGCATACAGTAGCGTCATTTTCATAAACCTCAGGCTTTGGTTTTGTTTTTTTGTCAGTGCGATTTTGTGTCTAAAAGAGAAGTTCCTCCCCCCTGATTGTTTTTAATTACTTAATGTTGTTTCTGTGTTGTCAGCAAGTCAAAATTCTATCCAGATCATAACACTTAAAATCAACAAATTCAAGAGCCTAGATCTGTTAGAGCTGATGTATTTTTTTCTGAAATACATTTTTCGAAGAGAAAAGACGTGTATACTTCCAGTTTGTATAGAAAAGTCTATTGAAAGCATGATTGAGTCTAAATTGCCATGTAGCTTTTCCACTGTACCTGACAAATGGTGAAGAATAACAGCTTTGAAAAGGGAGTAGAGAAAGAAAGACCAGATAGCAGCCAACCAAGTATGCATGCGTATTGTGACTTGAAATAGATTAAAAAGGAAAGAACAGATTAAATCTGGAATATACATTTTTTTCAGTCTGTCATTCTGAGTTTACCCGACAGAATTTTTTAGTCTAACTTCAGAATCCTTACAGTGACAGACTGGATATTGGACAGAGATCCACAAGAAGAAATACTCAAGGCATTCAGATTGTTTGATGATGATGACTCTGGTAAAATAAGCCTGAGAAACCTGCGTCGGGTTGCTAGAGAACTGGGTGAAAACATGTCTGATGAAGAACTGCGGGCTATGATTGAAGAATTTGATAAGGATGGAGATGGAGAAAGTAAGTATTAAGAATGGACTATATGGGATTTCTATCTCTTAATTTTCTCTGTATTTTAATGTAGCTTTATCTTGAAAATACCTAACATTTACAAGTGTTCTCTGTTTTCTTTCTATCTATCTTTCAGCTCAAATTTAGCTTATGTGTAACAAAAGTAGTTTTTGATAGATATTAGTCCTGAAAATGTATAGTGGAGTCTAAAAATCAAATTGATTTCTCACCTTCACTAAGGCTTAATCAAACCATACCTATTAAAGGTTTGGTTCAAGTTCTGGTAGAAGTGTAAATAATTAAGTGGTTCATGGAAGAGTCTGTGTACTACATTAAACTTTGATGTCTGTATGTATCAATAAGAGGATTAAAAGACCAGAAGAAGCTCTTTTGATCACCTAGTTCAATATTTCTTAAGCAGCAGTGTGTCACTATTGTGATTTCAGCTTGTTAGTCAGATACAAAGAGTTATGCTATTAAATTGGATAAGACTCCAATGTGCATCTGTACTTAGGAGAGCTGAAGAATGTGGTGTGAAAAATGCTCTGAGGAAACAAGATCCATACAGTGTGAGTTATAGAAGAGCTTTATTAGCTAGACAAAGAATTAAGTAACAAAGCCTGTTTGAAACTATGCTTATTAAGCACTGCAACTTAGAGTTGTTGTTTATTTGTTTTTCAACTCTCTTCTTTATTTCCCCCATTAATTTAAATCTATATTTAAACTGGAAGCCTAAATACCTGGATTTCAGGAGCTTAAGGAGCTTCAGGAGCACTTAAGATAATCTGCATATACTCTGCATTTCTGAGTCATAGAAACCTATGTGAGTTTTTCTTTCAGAATGGTGACTCTCATCTGAGATTTCAGAACTGAGACTTCAGGACTATCAACTTTTTCAGTAGCAAAACATTTTAATTTGTCAGCAACATCTACTGCTAGAGAAAAAAAAACAAAACCCACAACACCTGCCTTTTTTTCAGCCTTGTGACAGATACTTTTGTTGCCTGTGATGTATGTCAAGTGTGAAGTAACATCTAACTGCAAGCTTGTTAATTGTTGGCCTGTTCTTGTTTGCAGTTACTCAAATACCGGGAGAGAGAAAAAAAAAAAAGAAAAAAAAAAAGCTCCTTTTTTTCCTGAGACTAAAAGCAGGACTTCTGAGTGTAGTCAGTGCAGTTAAAATGCAAACTTTTTGTTTAATTTTGGTGACATAAATAGGGAGCATAAAGGCAAAAATAGTAAAAGCTCTGTGCTTTTATTGCTACTAGACTGTTAATGTTGACACTGTTTTTACAAAAGTCAGTGCACTGTTGAGAAGACTTTCGTTTGAAAGATGCTACCTCCTGATCTCGCTTTTATTTCCTGCCATGTTTCCTGCATAATTCTGGTGTTCCTCTATTTGTCAGACACGTCCTTCCACACATCTATTGCATTGGTATCCACTTTAGTAGCTGTACAGCAAAGAGTATAATCTTCTAAGTAGACATTATTTTAAGCTTTTTTGGCTTTTAAAAGGAGTGGTTGTGATTGCACTGCCTGTATTACTTATTTGTATTAAAGACTCATTTTACTTTTATTTGAAAGTGTAGCTACAGAGGTGAGAGCAAGTAGAATATGTCAGCCATAAGCATGTTTTGTCTTTTGTTCTTCTAGAGCTGGCAACTCAACTGTCAGAATGATAATCAGGGATGGTTTTGGTCATATTGCTGTTTGGCCAGTAGAAATCAATGTAAACCTCTAGCTCCTTTCAGGAAGATTATAGTTATTTTGGGATCAGCACTAAATTTATGAGGTAGCTTAGTTCATTTTCCTTATTCATCCATTAATTTTCTTTTTTAGAGTAGTCTGGAACAAGATTGAATGTGGAAGATTCGCAGCATAATGTTTATATGTAGTGCTGTTGTTTCGTTATGGTTCTGTTTTCTGTCCTTTAAAGAAAACTGATACTGTTTCTAGCTCTTAAGATTCAGTCTCAAAAAGTAAATAATCTTCTGAGTCAGTGTTCCATCCAGTTTCAAACATCTCGGTCATGTAACAAAGACTTGCTCTCATCTAATTCTCCTTTATTTCCTGCCTAGGGGAAAAAATCTTTAAGTATGAATTGGTAGTATTTTTAACTAATACTTAAAATATAGGAATTAATACCACGTAAACATTCTTACTATATTTGAAAGATTTATTTTTTTTTTCCTAGTGAAATAAAGTCTGTAACACAGTACGTCAGGCTACTTGAACCCTAGTCTTACGAGTGGAACTACTGTGCTGTACTGATAGACTTTTCTGAACTTTCTGTAAAACTATTTTTGACATTAGCAACTGCCTTAAGAAGGTAAATCATCAGATTTTCATACTGCTGATCTTCTAAGTAACATCTGTTTTGGTGCATGACTATTTTTAGAAATTCCATGCTGTCAATTCATTCACCTTTTTGTCTTGTGTGGATGCATCTACAGTAAACATAATCCCATTTCAGTTTTATGTTCTTGCAAAGAATTAGGGTTGGAGGGAAAGCTCCACTAAATTAACTTTACTCTCTTGTTAACTCCTGGAGAGTTTCTTAACTCTCCAAGTCAATGTTTTATTCATTTTAGCTGTAAGAATACTTACTTTATGATGATATATGTCACAGAAATAATGGATGTCTGACACTAGGAAGGGCAGTGGTTGTTGCCCTAGCACCTGCTCATTAGGTAGCTTGTCAGAGGTCTGGAGTCTGAGGAGGATGACTTGGGTTGCTGGGATTTGTTGTCACGTCTCTCTTTGCACTTTGAATGTTGCCAAATTTGTTTACCACTGTAATATTGTATTTCCACTTTGCAGCATTATGGTGCACACAGGTGTGTTTTGGGTCAGGAAATGTTTCACTGAGGATGTTTGCATTTGTAGCTCTTCGAAAATTTCTTTGGCTTCTGGATTTAATGTGCATGTAGTATTGAAACTGACTATGTAATACTTCTGGAATAGTCTTTAGAAATTATAATGAGAAGGAGTTGGGTAGAAATTTTGTCAGAATAAGGTGGATTAGTATGAGTACTATAAGCATACCTAGTTTTTTGCCTTTATTTATTTACTTTGTTTCTTGTTACACAGGTAGCACAGCTAGTCTCAGCACTGTTCTTTAGCAGAGAAAACATAACTTCTTTTTGATGTTTTTTTATTTTTCTTCTGTATTTTTCAGTGGTCAACACACCCACTGGGCAGCACATTAAAGACTCCAACTTACTTATCCAACATCTTGTAATTGTAGTAGGAAAAAAAGAGCACCCTCAGTTCATTGTGGAAATGTTTCCTATTTCTATTTTAGTTGTTAACCACTCTCTTAACAGTGTCCCTCTAAACTGGTGGCAGAAACAATCAATTCCAAAACAGTAGATTTTTGCCTTTGTGAGGTGAAAATACAACCAAGAGGTAAAGAGTGTGAATATCAGTCATTCTACTTGATAACACCTTGGGTCTGAACAATTGCAGCTCTTTGATGAAGTATCCTCAGTTATAGTAAATCAAGCTGATCATCCACCCAGAGAGACAAGCATATACTCTGAATAGCAGGCCTGTTTGATAACTGTGGAAGAATATTTTCAAATCCATGTGTTATGGTTAAAATTATAATCTACTACTTCCATTTGTATATATAAGAAAATACATTGGTCTTCTATTTTGGTATTTTTTTCTTTATTACTTAATGTCCTTCTTGCAGACTTCTTGCTGAAAAGGTGAAAATAATGTAATGTGTAGTTCCTACTTTTGCCTCATCTCCTATTCTGTGTCTGAAACTTGCCCTCTGGTTGGTGATGTCCTGAAGCGGTAACAGAGAAATAAACTATTTTGAAATTCATTTGGTTCTTCATATTGGACTGTCAGGCTGAACTGCTGATGTGACTGCAGACTTGCCTTCAAAGGAGAACATTTGTATCATGCTCAGTAATCATTTGGCTGATGGGGATACTATATGTCCTGAGCAGTGGTCTCAACTTGATTGTTTAGGGGAAAAAGTTGTTAAAAAAAAAAAAAAAAAGTCACTTAAGGGTTCTCTGGTTTCTGATAAGGTGAAAGGAAGCTGTGATTTTTTCAGACCAGGAGGGCGGGTAAGCATAGCAACCTTGGTGACGTTTTACAGCTTAATGAGGCAAAGGCCTGAACAACAGGATTTATCTACCCTGCTTTGAGAAAGGGTTGGGACATGAGTTTTGGATTACTGTTCAGTAACTCTAACAGTATTTGAAGTTTATAAGTGTAATTAATTTATCAACATGGATTAATGCATTAGTCATCTTTTAATAGTTTTGGTACATTTACTGAAATGACTTGTTGAATTAGAAGACATTCTGAACTTATTCCTCTTTGAATGCCAACAAAGACGCACATTTATTTAGTTTACATTTCCTCTAGGTATGCTCAAGCCATTAAATTCAGAGCCTTGAGTAAGATCCACTTAAGACTAGAGAATAACTTTCAAAAACAACAGTAGAAGAGAACAGGTGTAAAATAAAGGAAGGTAATCCAAGTTAACAAATTGTCCCTTTTCACCAATGTTTTGCTGCTTTGAGAGTAGGCAATGGCTTCACATCATCAGCAGCTTTATATCACTAATTTATTGAATTTAGTAAGTCAGACCATAGCACATATGAAGTTGTGTCTGTACACGATGGCATAAAGCGGAAATATCCTTTCCTTCTGTAGTGTTTTTATGCCATGTACATGCAAAAAGAGTTAACAGTATTTTTATGTTTCAGCTTATTTTTAAACACTAATTACATGCATTATTAATGGGAGGGAAAGAGGAAGCAATCCCTGTGTCCTTTTTAGATACTTCTGTTTCGTTCATGAATCAAACCACGTGAAACTTCAATTCTGGTTTTAATTGTAGTTGTGTGTCATAAAATGAAAGCAGTATTGATGTCTAAGGAAAGTGTTGCTTTCACCTTTAAAATCCTCATACCTTCAGAAGACAATTTCAATCATACCTTGATTGTGATGTTTTAGGACGAAGCTCAAGTGGTCACTTGTCTTGCCAGACATGTGTGTGGCTCCATCTTAATTTCTTTTCTTACAGCAGCACTGATTGAGTTTCATCTCTGAATTTGTGTTTAATGCGGCTTACTGAAAAGCTACTTTGGACTCCAAATATATCCTGTAGATAACTGCTACTGGCAAAGGTCATATACACAGAGACTATTGCTCTTCAAGTAAACATGCAAATAGTAATTATTGTAAGTAAGATAATCTGTAACTATCTTTGAAAACTAGTCATAGACTTTGAGATGTATTCTCTTTCCAGTTACACTTTTACGTGTAGCTTAAAACAATTTTATAACCTGAATAAGTGAAAATAGGTTGCAACATTATGCTTGTTGAGCAATATAACTAAATCAAACAGCTATTATTTTATATGCAGTAAAGCCTTAATTTCCAAACTCTGGAAAATGAGCATCATACTTTTGTAGTAACTGACCACTAATTGAATAACCCTTGAGAGTAAAGCATTAAAATAGAGCCATAATAGGCCAAACCCATCTGTTTTACTTTCTGAAATCTGTTGGGTTTTTTTTCCCCATTGCACTCTTCAACCTTCACTTTGCAGAATCAAACAGATAAGTATTAATGCACAGAAGTTTCCAGTATATTTTCTGTAATCATCCATTCTGACTTCTTATCCCTATTCTTATTTATTTTGGCCAGTAGTCCAAACATGTTTCCATTTTAAGAACTGTTAAGAACATGTTTAAGAACTGTTTCTCAGGAATTTTACAACTTTTCAACATCTATCTTTTTACTACTAATCTTCTATTTTTATTTTTTTTATTTTTTAGTTATTGTTAGCCACTACATTATATGAACAATGATAAATTGAAGAATAATTAAAGTGGAAAAGGCATGTTAGTACATAAGGGAAAACTTACAGGAAGTTGTAATTATCTGAAATCAAAACATGAAAAATTCAACAGATACAGAAATACATGAATTTACTTGGTAATACTAGTGAAATAAAACCATGATAATGCCTTTTAAGTCATGCAGAAAACACGGTGTTTCTGTGTAATGCAACATGGTGTAGCTATTTGATTGACTGACATTTTAGAGTTTATAGTCCTAAAATAGATTGTTTCCTGTTGTTTTTAAATGTGTTGCAAGATGGCAGATTTGAATTTATTTTTTAAAATACTTTTAACATGAACTGGTTTAGCTTTCCTCTGGCTGTAGATGTAACTTCTGCTTTGCAATGGTATGTTCAGGATTAACTTGGGCACACTGTTTGGGGCACATAATTGTCAAGGACAGTTTGTCATATGTGTCTGTTCTTTTGCATATCACTGGCTTAATCTGTTCATTCCGCACTACGGTAATTAGTTGCAGAGTGAACATGTTCATTGGTTAGCTCTTTTACAGTGTCTCTGTTTTAACATATGAGTAAGGTCAATAGCTCAGGTGTAAGTGCAGTAAAATAATTAATGACTGCTAATTAATTTATTACTATTACTTAATTTCTTCAAGTACATTTGTGTTAAGTTTCTGTTAATTATAACTGTAGAATGAAGAAAGTTCAGGTGGGAGAAAAACTTGTCAAAAGTCTGTCTTAATTCAAGCTAGTTTGTAGAATCATGAAATTCATTTTTTATTTGTTCACTGTTACAGATTTGGGAGAGGAAAACTATGGTGTGAATGTGTGCTTTTTTGAGCTATTTTGTCATTTTTGCTTTTTTGGGGGGAAGATGGGAACGCAGAACACAAAGGTCTGAATTATTCTTTGAAGAATAAAATAGAATTTGATCATAAGTAGAACTGCAGCTTTGTTGTTTGAGAAGCATGTACTATATATATTGATATGGTTTTAGCATATAAAGATGTTAAAAATGGAAAGAAAGTGGTGTAGTTTTTCTTAGTTGTATTTTAAAGTACTTTCCTAATTTTTATTTTTAATTTCTAAAATATTTTTACTTTCAGAATTAGAAATAATATTTTTTTATTTATGAGTCAAATTCTGTCTTAAGAATCACATGTAGTTAAGATTGCATTCTGACTTCATTTCACATTAAAAAGAAAAAAAAAATCTGTTCTAGAAGCAAAAAAAAAAATCCAAATTTGAATGTCTGTCACACCCAATAAATACAAAGTTGGAAACCTTCAATTTAAGAGTGCAGTATGCATATGTATGTTATGTTCTCTTATGGTTTATGGTATTTGCTGTTTGTCTAATAATTGTCTTTTCCTTTACAGTCAATCTAGAGGAGTTCATTGCTATTATGACTGGAGATATTTAACACTGGAAGAGAAGAAATGTATTTATCACAAAAGGGAAACATCATTGGCATCTGCCAGTAGAGTATTTTGTAGTTTGTTTCTGTTGATGGAGTCCAGTAGAAAATTACTTTCCTCAGAGGTCCAGAATAAACACAAGTTTTATGTACTGTTGCTTTGGAACTTTATGTCATTAAATCTCATCACTAGAATAAGTAGTCATGTTGGTACAGGTAATACTACATTTCAGAGTATTTTAGAGCTCATTTGTATAATAGCTTTGTATAATATTTCTAAATTAAATCCTATTATAAGAACGTTTTGAAGTTGGCTTTATGTTAGCACTAACTGCGGCCTTAGTTTTGATACATGAAGTTTTACAGATTTCCATTTTAATAAATTGCTCTTTACTATTGCTACTGAAAACTCTTGGTTTTTTTGTTTGAGCTATGATTTAAAATCCATCAAATAAAATTGTTTTGTTCTTTTTGTAAGTTTTTACTTCTGTTGTAGTTGAATAGTAACATTAAATGAACAAGAATTTATATTCTCAAAGTTACAATTTACTAGCTATTACTCCTGTATGATGGTAGAGGACAGGCTACTGTATTAAGGTAGATACTATATCACAAATATGCTTTAGTCATCCAGATGTCAGCTAGCAGTGTTTTTTCTGTATCTACATCTCTGATAGCTGTGGCAATAATGGCAAGTGTTTGTGACAAGTAGATATTTTTTTCTGCAGTATCTAGCTAAGACGAAAGTGTATATGGAATGGAGAGAAAGCTGAGGCTGTTCAACCTGGAGAAGGCTCCAGGGAGTCTGAGGGCTGCCTTTCAGTATCTGAAATGGGGACTGTGAGAAAGATGGAGACGGGCTGAAGCAGAGTCTGCCGTGATAGAAGAAAGGGAAATGGTTTCAAACTAAAAGGTGGAAGACTTAGTTTGGGTACAAGGAAGAATTATTTACAGTAAGGGTAGTGAGGCACTGGAACAGTTTGCCTAGAGGTGATGATCTCCCCATCCCTGGAAAGATTAAACGTCAGTCTGGATGGGGCTCTGAGCACTCTGCTTTAGCTGTAGGTGGCCCTGCTTATTGCAGGGGAGTTGGCATGGATGACCTTTAATGGCCTCTTTACAACTCAAATGATTCTGTTATTCTATGAAGATGTGAGTCTCACATCATGATTCTATGAAGTAGTTAGAAACACTGAATGTGTGTCTTCCAGGATTCTGAGGTTGATCTTCCAGATCTCCTCTCTACTGGCTGTAGCCTCTGCCTCTTAAATTTAAAATTGATTTCTCTCCCCTTACTTACCAAAAGAATTTGTTTTGCTTAATTCTGTGATCATCTTTCTTGCTGGAAAACCAGCTATTTTTTAACTTTGTATTCCTGGGATTGTGAACAAGTTTGCCCTGCACAGACACAGCTTGCAGTTTATTGGAGACTGAGATTAGATCCAGCAAAGTTAACAGGTTTTTCCCTATTATTTTTCTAGTGTGTGTTATAAAATTCTTATTTATGAAATAATCACAGAATTACCAAGGTTGGAAAAGACCTACAGGATCATCCAGTCCAATCACCCACCTATCACCGATAGTTCTCACTAACCCATATCCCTCATCACAAAATCTAAACATTCCTTGAACACCTCCAGGGTTGGTGACTCCACCATCTCCCTTGGCAGCCCATTCCACTGCCTGGCCACTCTTTCAGAAAAGCAGTATTTCCTAATGTCCAGCCTGAATCTCCCCTGGCGCAGCTTGAAGCCATTCCCCCTGGTCCTATCACCAGTTACACGAGAGAAAAGGCCAACCCCCAGCTCACTACAACTCCCTTCATGTAGTTATAGAGAGCAATGAGGTCTCCCCTGAGCCTCCTCTTCTCCAGGCTGAACATTCCCAGCTCCTTCAGCCGCTCCTCATAAGCCCTGTGCTCCATACCCCTCACCAGCTTTGCTGCCCTTCTTTGAACCCGCTGCAGGCCCTCAATGTCTTTCTTGCAGTGAGGGGCCCAAAACTGGACACAGCACTCGAGGTGCGGCCTCACCAGAGCTGAGTACAGGGGGACAATCACTGCCCTGTTCCTGCTGGCAACACTTTCTGATGCAAGCCAGGAGGCCATTGGCCTTCTTAGCCACATGGGCGCAGTGCTGGCTCATGTTCAGCTGAGCATCAGTCAATACCCCCAGGTCCATTTCCTCTACGCAGTCCTCCAGCCACTCCTCCCCAAGCCCATAGCATTGCCTGGGGTTGTTGCGGCCAAAGTGCAGGACCCAGCATTTGGCCTTGTTGAAACTCATCCCATTGGCTTCAGCCCAGCCATCCAGCCTGTCCAGATCCCTCTGTAGGGCCTCGCTACCCCCAGGCAGATTGACACTTCCAGCCAACTTGGTGTTGTCCACAAACTTACTGAGGGTGCCCTCAGTGCCCTCATGCAGGTCGTCAATAAAGATATTGAAGAGGACAGGCCCCAGCACCAACCCTGGGGAACACCACTCATGACCGGTCGCCAGCTGGATTCAGCTCCGTTCACCACCCCTCTCTGGGCCCGGCCTTCCAGCCAATTCTTTATCCAGCCAAGAGTGCACCTGTCCAAGCCACGGGCTGCCAGCTTCTGCAGGAGAATGCTGTGGAGACAGTGTCTAAGGCCTTGCTGAAGTCTAGACAGACCACATCAACAGCCTTTCCCTCATCTAGCAGGCAGGTCACTAGATCATAGAAGGCAATCAGGTTGGTCAAACAGGACCTGCCCTTCATGAACCCATGCTGGCTGGGCCTGATCCCCCGGTTGTCCCCCACATGCCACATGATCTCCCTCAAGACAATCTGCTCCATAACTTTTCCTGGCACTGAGGTCAGGCAAACAGGTTTGTAGTTCCCCAGATCTTCCTTACAACCCTTCTTGTTGATGGGAGTCACATTGGCAAGCTTCCAGTTTTCTGGGATTGTTCTCTAGTAGGGTTTCGATATCAGTGCATTCATACTGCAATTTGTAGCAAGTCAAGATGACTAGCAGTGGCTCCATATCATTCATCAAGTAATGCAAATAGGCACCTCAAGTTGAAGCCTAGTAGGGTATGTGACCATTGAGTGGGATTCCCATTCTGGATCGCTCTGAGAGAAGTTTTGAGAACAACTTTTGCTAGGAAGGGTAGTTTTTTTTGTTTAAATATTTGCATTCTGATTTTAGCAAAATGAATGATGAAAGTATAATTAGGAGAAAAGGTACGGATAAAATTAATAAGAAATTAGTGGGAGTAATGGAGTGTTGGTATTCAATAGGAAATGCAGTCTTGTTAGTGGTCAGTTGATGTCTCACTCTTTAAGCTTGAGTAAATCTTCCTCTATTTTATATCGAAAGCTGATTTTATAAACATGTTCTTGCTCAACCAGCAGGTAGCATGGAATATTTGCAGTACGAAGATTGGTGTCCACAAGGAAATACTTGGTACATTCAACATGGGTATACTTTCTTTTATACTGATTTCAGTGTAAGTGTAAGAAAGCAGGAAAATAAATTGAAGGACTATTGCAGACAAGAGGAAATCTTGCTTCAGAATAAGGACAGCAAATTTCTCTCCAGTCATGTGAAATGCTTTAGAATCCAACAGCAAAACCAAACAAACTGTAAAGCTTCCTTTTAAACAAACAAAACAAACAAGAAATCCCCACACCTACCATTTAAAGAATCAAACAAAACTCTTTAATAAATATTTTGCAATCTCAGCAGATTTGATTAAGAAAGGAATATTGAAGGGCAAAGATACAGCGTCTGAGAATGAACTGCTCTTAACTTTGTGAAGAGCAAAGCAGATACTGTCTTGTTCAGTACTTTCTGGTTTGGAATCTCCTTTGGCAGGGGGGTTGGACTTGATGATCTCTAGAGGTCCCTTCCAACCCCTACAATTCTGTGATTCTGTGATTCCTGGCTTTGCTTTCAGCCTCTTACATGGATGGTTTTAGGACATTTTCAGCAGACAGTGAAAGTGATAAAAAACTTAAAACAGTCCCTCAGCAGTCATCATAAAGCACTTCTTCGCTAAGTCTCCCGCCCTTATTTTGAACGTTCTAGTTTTCTAATACTCCACTGTGGTTGTTGAATGAGTTTTGAATTATTTTTATGGAGATATTACCACTCTACTTCTCTGAAGATGACTGATAATTAGTTCTTGATAGTTATTGCTCTTGGTTTGTAACTGGTTCAGTAAAATGAATGTTTTCTCCTCTAGACAGAGGTTTTATTCCAAACTTTTACAATATGCTTTCCTTTTTCCTACTAAAATGGCATATGCCAGCAATTGTTACAGGCTACATAGCAACAGTGCCAAGATCTGTAAGTGCTGGCCAGTGAATTGGAGAGTTCTTGCAAGCTCAGATTGCTGGAGTAATGTAGAAAGAGAAGAAAAGAAGCAAAGAAACATTCAGCATAATGTTTGGTGATATTGTCATGATATTTGCCTTTGCCTTTATTCTGCCTTTCATAATTTGTGATTGTTTTTCATAGCAAAATGTTTCACAGCAAAAAAAATTGTTCTGTGCTGCTAACTACTGAGCTTGTGCTTCTTGCTGTTTGCTTCTTGCTGAACACTCTGAGTGTTGCACTTGATGCTGGCTTTCCATGGTACTCACTAATGAACGCTGTAATAGGCC